GGGGGGTTGGACTCGATGACCTCTGAGGTCCCTTCCAACCTTCGGCATTCTATGATTCTATGATTCTATGAAAAGCATATAATGAGTATTTGTCTTTGCCATCCTTGCTTACCATCCTTCAGAATTTACAGGCCCTTGTTTGTTCATATTATTATATTTTCGTTCGGTTTCTTATATACCCAAACACATAATTTGAGAAATGTTATTTGGCTGGCATTCCACTTCTTTGAACATCTAGAGAGTAACTCTGTTATTCTCGGTAATAACAAGACTAAAAGATCCCTGCAATTTAGCCAGATATATTGCCACTGTATTACCTAGAGCAGCTAGACTTTTTACATTACACAATTGCTGCACAACACAAGCACTCAAGGGACAGATCTCCCCAAATTACCTCTGATAGACCTAACCGCAAGCTAGAATTATTCTCCCACTTCTCTTTTTCTATTAACATTCACATTTCTCACTGCTGCAGAGTCAGCTCCAGTGGTAAGACTGAGAACAGCCGCTTCTGACTGTATCCCATGAACTTGTAGACAAAAACACACATCTGAGCAGCCAAACTGGCAGATTTTGGATGAAGGGGGCTTAGATTTTAATTTTAACACCAGGTAATGCTGGAATTGCCACCTACTTATTCTAGAAAGGGTAAGGACCATTTCTTTTCTAGCCTTGTTTTCAAAGAGTATATATTGCCCTGACTTCTTGCCCTACAGGAATTTTCAGATTGACAACCTATTTTCAGATGGCCGATAGTTCTGAAGAGTTTTTGAACTTCAAAAGCATATCATGRCAAATGACATTGTCATCAACCCATTATACAAGTGAAAATTCATTCATTTCCTGGGAAGGAATGCCAAAGGAGAGGACTTCATCTAAAAACCTAAATCCAACATGTGGATGAGTGGAAGTGGATGATTTGTCTTTCCTTCAGTCATTTAGTTTCCTTCTACTTCTTTCATATTTTTAGGAGGTTCAAAKGAGATCTGATGTATTTGTATTTGCATCATGGAATGGCTAAATCAAGTCTTTTTATTTTTTTAAATGTTTGTTGGATTTTTTTTTTTCAGTATTTAAAACTCCTTTTCCTGGTTTCTTGTAGAACTACAATTATACTACAACTAATACCACAGTCCACAGTGGTATCTCCCAGAGATATCCCAGAGATCTCACAGATCACAGAAATCTCCCAGACCTGGGCTGGATAGATTGGTGGTATTTTTGTAGTGGGTCAAGACAACTCAGGACTTTTGCAGGCACTTGGGCAGGATAAACAGAAATGGAATTTGTTCTATGCATTTGCTGAAATGGAGTAAAGGACTACAAAGAGATAAAAAGGTATCATGTGCTTCAAAGCTTTAAGTTATTATTCTGTAGCCTAGTACTACAGTGTCATTATCAGAAAGCAGTGGTGGGGTACAGACGATAGCTGTCTTTTCTTTTCCATCTCAATATTAACACTAATCCCAAAGAAATCTCTGAGATGGGATTTATATTACCAGTTTAGATGTCTACCACATTGGCATCTAGAACTGAGCTAGCTAGCTATGTTTGACCCCCAGGATAACACACAGCTGGTACAGTCAGATTTGTTAAGGTGATGACAGGTATCACCTCAAATTAGACACTCACATTTGGTCAAGAGAATCATGGAACAGTTCTTCAGTAGACAAGAGCCCTAGAATCCTCAACTCTTCTGCTGTGTGGTTTATGATTCTGAGTTTGGCTTGTTAGCAGTGTGCTGAGGCTGAAGGATGGCTAATGATTTGCGGCTGAGATTTATTTCCATTATATTTCATAGACTTTCTGAGTGAGCGTCTTGGTCTAAGACACTCAAGTGTTCAGCCTACGATGTATGGGCTGCACGCTTTCTGAGTTCAGATGACCTTTCTGACATCTAATCAGGACCAGATTCTCAAAGCATGCAGCCACTTGCTAAATATTACCAAATATTACCAAATTTATTTCCAACATAAGAATAATAAGGGGAACCAAACAGAAAATTTAGCTGATCCTTCTTTAGCTTAAGGGGAAGTTTGCATTTTTTGAAATTTAGGACATTTCTGGAGATTTCATGTGCCAGGGAATGACATAATCATTTTATTTGTACAAATAGGAAAATGAAAGGTATAATGTAAGAATGTATAACACATTTTTGGTTTGACATGTGGAATACATATGCTAATTCTATATTGGTAGTATGGTTTATCTGTTCAATGTGTGATTGTGTATGACAAATATGAGCAACAATCCCTTTAATATTTCAGGGTTTTTCTTACATACATATGGTATACTACATAAGATACATTAAACACATGTTGTTTCTTCATGGGAAAATATGTATTTTGGCATACTTTCTGAAATAATTCTGTTTTTGCATCATGAGGTGCAGATACTTACTGGTAGCAGAGTGAAGTTTCAGTACAACACTAGGCCTGTAGGGCTGCATAGACAATACTGAGGAAGATAAATCTGAAAGAAGGAAAGGAATATAACTTGTCCTGACATCCTCTTAACATGAGAGAATGGACAAATGAAAAAGTTCATTAAAAAGTAGCAGAAGAAAAAATTCTGAAGTCACAGAGTACTAGTAAATGCATATATAGATACTGAYGCATAAATATATTCACAGTCCCTACATGTGTCTACAATGAGTCAGATTTGTTATTTTCTRTTTCAGAAATGTGCCAGCTTGCATGCTCTGTTTTCACTCCTGATGTCTTACCTGGCTCTGTTTGCATCAATTTACTTGTTTCTTGGGGAGGCACTGACTGTGTCCAAATTGCAGACATTTCAGCTATAGAAATAGAAAGACACATACTTAAGTAATTGAGGATATTTGTTATTTATCTGTCCATTGCAATGGACCTTCAACACAGTACCTTCAACATAATAGGGAGCTTACCAGCCAAAGTCCCTTTTCCACTACTTCCAATGAGATATAATAGTAGGATGAAAAAGGAAGGATAAAACCAGTACTTTGCTAGATTTTGGAAGATCTATGAGCTGSTGAATGGCAGACAGTAATTTGAAGAAGATATGTTCAGTGGAGACCTAAAGTAGCAACTCCATATTGCTCTTTCTCAGATCTGCTTGCTGAATTTGGAGCAACATATTGGTACAGACTTGGGTCCAAGTGAGGTGCATTTGTGGAAGAAGAGCTAGGACATACAGGCAGCTTCCCGTGAGGGAAAGAAAAATGACAGATAAGGTCATTATAACTTATTTTAACACTTCTGCAATAATGAAGCCTCATTAGTCATGGTGTGTTGAGGCACCCTCGAGGTTCATTTGGCTAAAAGGGACACATCTGTGAAGACCTTGTTCCAAGTTGGGACTAGTGACTGATCCACCCACATTTTGGGACAAATTTGGAAGAACTTCCCATCCTGGGATGGTGAGTTCATGTCACCTGGTACAACACATCTTAACTCTGTGCCTAGTGCAGTCTCCTTGTTGAGCAATACTTGGACCCTGTAGCTCATCTCTTGAATTCACAGTTACTAGGGTTAGATGACAGAGCATCGTACAGGGATCCTGAGTACCTTGAGGGGCTCCCAGGCACTGCAGGTCAGAAAACACAGCAACAGATCAACTTGTGGAAGAGGAATAAAGCCCTTCTCTGGATGAAGGGACTTAAAATAAGATGGTCTGTTAAGAAACCTTCTCTGTCTGCTGGGCCTTTAAAAGAAGGAGTATGTGACCCAGTTTGGATGTACAAATGCACGCACTTCTGCGGGTTGCTGAGTGGAGCAAAAATCTCCTGATACCACCAGGGTCTGGGAAGAACCGTACAGGTGATAAATCATGTCTCCACCACCACAACATGGCCTGGGGCAGGCTCCTGCCACTGGTTGAGAGCAATGAGGAGTGGAAACTCTTCTCCCGCTGCCTGGCAGCTTTGGGACCCACTAATGTGTGGTCAGTGGTGCAGGAAGGATGCGGGAACGGCTTCTCTGTGCAGTACTCACCAGCTGGTGCCGTGGCAGTGGCCTCCCTCACAGCTCCAGCTGTACCACGTGCTTTCCACACATCCCAGTTTTCCAGTGATTGAAGCCCTGATCCTTTCACACCAGCTGTCTTGGGCCACRATGGAACTCTCGTCGGATGGATTTCCTCTCCTTTAAGACCACTTGGGATCCTCGTAGCTGGGGAGAGACAGAGGCACTGGTACTTGCAACATACATTGGGCTCCAGTGTCATACATTGGGTACCATGGCCAAGTGGCGGCACATGGTCACACATGCTTTAGGGCACAGAAATTTCTAAAATGCACACAGAGAACCCCCACTGTTGCCTGGCTTTTTACAATTTTTTTTCTACCCTGAAATTATCCAGGACATTAGTGATCTCTTCAGCTCTCCTGGGAAAACTTTTAATCTCTACTTGTTCAACAGTATAGTGCATGTACAGTAAATCTAAGTGGTCACTTGTCAAGTTGCCAGTCAAGAAGAATATACATTTAGATGTGAGAATACTTGCGCACTTTTAGATCTCCATATATGTTCTGGAGATGCATCCATGCTTTTGTTTAGGTCTTCCTCTAATTTCACAGAACTTGAAAAAATTGGATCTAGATCTTTAAGGTATGAGAAGATAATGATAAAATAATGTTAGTACTCTCAGGATCCATAGGATATTCAGTGTGATAAAACAGAAAGGAGTTGGATTTGATAGCTGTTTCTTTTAAAAGAAAGAAATTTGTGGCCTTTGATTTGTTTTAAATAGGAGAATAATGTTGGCCTAGGTAAAACTGCTATTGATTTCACTGTTTTCCTGTTACAATCAAGCAATCAAAATGAGAAATATGGAYCATCTGCAATAAAACATGTTATTTGAAGCCTAGCTCAACCTGCCAAAGCAATTTATGGTGGAAGAATCGTGCAGCACACTGGATAACTATATTCAACGTCTTTCTCACATAAAAACAGAAAGTTATACACACTGAGAGCTAGGACATTTATTTTTTAAAGCAAGAACATTGTAACAGTCCCTGCTCAGGACTGAATTCCATAAAAATTATGATCCCATTAAGAGAAAATATTGTAGTTTGAGGTGCATTATCCAAATGATCAAAAGATACATCTTCAGTCTCCAATTTTTATGTAAGTAGTCTATCTCATGTCTTATGTATTAGAGCAGACATAGTTGTCTAAAAATATCACTTCTTCACCTACTTCAGTTTTAAATTAAGTGGACCTTCAAGAGCGGAGTTTTGACTACAGTGCCAGCCTATAAAGAGGATTGGAGATTTACTAGGGCACTAGCTGTTCTGTCCTCTAATTTCCAGGGTTTTCTGAGCAAAAAGTTCAAAATACTAAGACTGAATCACAATTTCTTGTGTGTTAAGTCACCAATACTTTCCAATAAAAGCAAAGGTTTCTATCCTTTCCTCCAATATAAGCCATCACATTTAATAACTTGAGGTTTGTGAACTTCACTTATTTTTCTGTGGTGAGTATAGAATAATTACATGAAACACAATATTCATTGCAAGTGTTGCTTAGACGTGATTTTCATTGCTGTTGCTATTTGCTTTYATTCCTCAGGAGACACTTACCTATGTCAGCAGATGTGTTGCTGGAAAAGGTGTAATTCGTAACAGGAAACTTTTCTAGCATCTCCCAAAATTCAGACAAATTTCTCCCTGTAAATACACATGCTTAAAAATATCAAAAGGTTCTTTTTTTCTAATGTAAGCCATCAATGAGAGCCATAGAACAATATTTTGGTTGAAATTTTTTTATATTTACCTGTTTGACCTGTCATCATGCAGATATAGATACAATCTGAATCGTTGCTCTGATTTACTGTAAGGCAAACACATGTAAAACAAAGGTTTGCCATCAGTTTTCATTATATAATATTATCTTAAGTAGAAGACACAAACCTAAAACAATATGTGACTTCTACAGCTAACCTAAGATTTTCCTTCAGACATGATTTTAACAAAAACTTGATCCTTTGACAAAATGATGTCAAATAACTAACCAATGATATTAACAGAAATTTTAAATCTCTTGAACACAGAAATGTTTCTACACACTTCTTCTGAACAGAAAAGATTTTCTTGAGTAAAACTTACACTTCATTTTCTTAGAACCATCCTCATCTGTGAACAGCATGTTTGACCAGAGAATTCAATACTCTAAATGAAGACTGCACTATTTCATGAGAAGTTGGCTAGAAGCTACAGTCTATGCAGAATTACTGGAGCAGATCACATTCAGACAAGATAGCATGAAGTACGAATGCTAATATTTGAAGAGGAAATATTTAGTTAAAATTCTACAAATGCAAGAAGAGTTAATTGTGTATAATATAAATGCATATGTATACTTAATATACATTCTATATAGTTACTAATGCATTGTATGTATACATTCATGAATAAATTAGACAAATAAGGATGATAAATGGTAAGAAGAAATGCAAACCTGAGAGAATCGAAGTAGACTTGAAAATTTCTGTGAGATAACTGGTAGAGTTTCCAAGAACATCAACAAGTAAAGCTGTAAAGTCTAGAAAGCAACAGAGAAAGTTTATGATTCAAAACACATATTCCATCATCTCTGCTAAGTCAAAAAATGATTTTTAATAAAGTTGTATTTTGGATATATATTTGTGCATGATAAAGTGTAAAATATTTTAAGCATGTGTTTGTTGAACAGGAGTGGAATTAGGAAGCTGCTTGAACACTGAGGAAATATGAATGAATGATGATATCCAAAAAATCAATGATGTGCAATTTCCGCCATTTTAATCACCAAGATATTCTCTATTTGCGTCAAAAAGATTAGAGTATCTCTATCATGCTCCTACTGGTTCATTATATAGTAGGGCTGATAATATGAACAGTTCCAAGAGAAGCCACAAAAGCTGTTGTTGCTTTATGAGATGGTCATCACATGTGACTTAGAGAATATGGGGTCTATTCTCTAGTTGCTGAGCTATTTTTGATGTYTTGAAAGAATCAGTCATTGGTCTGCACTCAGATTTATCCTGGTATTGCAAATACTATGAGATCAGGATGTGAGTGAGTATCAGGTGAAGGATTTACCTACACTGTATTAGACAGCTTTGTGTCGCTATTAACCTTTATTTTTCATTCCTGCTGGGCTCGCTGAAGGTATTGGAGGCACTCGTGTAGAGAAACCCTTGTCTTTTCATACTACCAATATGAATAAACTCTTCAGACACGAGGCTATAGCTTTCAGCTCAAAGGAAATAATTCAGCTTAAGCACATCCAGTTGCCAATCTTTCTTGGGTACCCACCTGTCAAGTCATTTGTCACGTTATTCAGGCAGTAGCAGTGACGCATAGGGAACTTGCCAGGGTCAACATTTTTCAGGTTAGAAACTGTAAAAAGAGATGGAGGAAATGAATATCTTGATGCACACCCTGTGTGGGAGAAAATATTTCCATGAAGAATAGAGTGATAAGGCACTCACTGTTATAAATGGTCACTGACACTTTGTGGAAGGCAAAAGAGCTGTAAGACGTAACACTCAGCAAAGAGAAGAAATTTTTGGAACCTGCAGAAACACAAGCTTGCTGATATTAGTGATTAGAACAAATTATATGAGCAGAATGTTTTGACTCTGCTCATTTTATTTCTAAAAAAGCAAACAAACAAACAAAGAAAACCCTTTCCTGACAGACAAGAGTACACAGCTACTTGGGACTGAATTCCTTTTCAATTCCTCTGTGGGAAATATCACTATCATTAATTTTTTTTTAATTCCACCAAGCAAACCTGTACTCATTATAAAGCTCTTCTTAGAGACCTCCCATAAGTAATTATATTGTGTTTACATATAAACACACACTATTTTCAACAATTTTTCAGGCAGAAAGCTTTCTGCTTTGTAAGTGTGCAAGTGTAATTTGCATGGAGAGTTAGTTTTCAAGCCTGACAGCATTCTTTTCTTGAGAACACCTTTAGTCCTTTAGAGAGGTCAGCTCACCCAGGGCTGCTTGGCTTTCCCATCATCAGGAACCTTACCCTTGAGCGTTGTGCCCAGCATGTTGTTGATCAGCTCAGTCAAGTTAACAGCAGCCAGATCCACAGACTTCGCAGGCAGCTCTGGAAAAGAAGGGATATCTCTGAGCAGCTGGCTGCATGATGGAGATGCTAGGAAAGAGCTATAAATCCTCTGCTTGTGTATGGCTTCAGGTGACAGAGGTGGATCCAGACAAAAGCCTCTGGACTGGGAAAATGAAATGAGCAGGCTGTGCATCAGGTCACACAAAAGGAAAAAAGTAGAAAAAAAAAAAAGGAAAAAATAAAATGGTGTGTGAATGCAGAGAGAAATCTGAAAAATAAGAGGAAGTGGGCAGCATAAAGGGAGCCAATATGTAAGTAGGGCTCCAAGTGGTCTGTCCCTTGGAACTTGGCCAAAAGCAGGCTGCCAGAGAGCCTAATAAAGTCCTAACATTTGGTGCCCCCTCGTGCTGGACCATGTGTATTTACTTAAAAAAAAAAAGAATATTCAAGCTCYCTTCGAAGATCACAAGTAGATATAGTATCTGTTAATTTTCCTCTTTTCCCCCAGTCCTAAATGCTGCATAGAACTGGAATTAAAATGGAGGTAATCCATTAAAACAGACTGTACTACCTTGATAGACACATGGCTACCAGCAGGAAGAATTAATCATAGCTGAATCACACTTATTTACAAGATGCTTTCACAACCTTTTTTTTTTTTTTGTTACAGTTGTTTATTTGCTTTTCCTGAATCAAAATTTCCAAAGCTGCTTTTGCTTCCCTYCCACAAAGTAGTAAAAAGTAGAGCACAGCAGTATTGTTGTGTACACAGAGGAAGGTCTGCCGTGCGTGCATGACACAGAGACACAGTATATTGCCACAAGGAAACAGAAGCATAGAAAACCAAGATGAGATGAGAGCAAAATTGAATTTGGGGAAAAAATGCAGTTTTCTAGTGATATTATTATTTATTTTAACCTTTGTAAACCAAGCATACTTCATTGCTCCATTCTGACAAGCAAAAAAGAAAATCATAGTCACTCTCATGAGGATGCACAAAGTTAAAAGCACTGCAGCACATGCAGCCCTGCTCTCTGTGCTACAGAAATCACCCAGGATTGGGAAATATTTCTGGAATGTCACTGGACTTGTCCCCAGCATGGAAGATGGGAAAGACAGGTAAGGAAAACCAGGTAAGGAAAAGGAATGAAGAGCTGGGAGAGAGTGCTAGAATAGAGAGACAATAACATTTTGGGTTTCCTGGGARGATGGAGGTTATATTGGACAGTGATCTGGGCAATTCTGAGGAAGGGCCTGTGTCTAGGTGGGGAACCACATTAAGAAATGTCTGAGCTCACAGCTCTTGCTGCAGAAGACCTCTGTGTCTGACACAATATCTCCTGTGAGTTTCCACCCCTGCACAGATCTGGTAAAGGGATTCATGACCTGTGATTATTACCTGCAGCTGCCAGCACTGCTGTGTGCTTTTCTTTCTTGTTTTCTCTTCGCATGCCTGAAGCTGTGGAGAAAAAGAAGATTGAGAAAGTTTCCCCTGTTGAGCTAGCAAGCAATCCCATCTGAGCTACTGTGCTGGTATCATTCATTATATCTCAGAAGTGAATGGACATGGTCACTGCGAAACAGGCCACCGAGTGTGTGAAAAAGCAGCTGATCAAGTACCTAAGAATAAGGATGTCCCAAAGGACCTGCAGCTAAGATCAGACAGCAGATTAAACATCATGTCTTGTTCCCCTAATTCAAGAATCAAAAAGAGAATAATGACACCAAGCTGTTAGAGATGTCCGAGCTGGGCTTGCAAACATCACTGACCATAAGGCATGTACCATAAGTGGGTTAAACTTAAAGGAATCAGCATCAGCCACATGCATATTGTTCGTTCAGGGTACGTGTTTGATAGAATTTTACTTCYAAGAACTGTGTTTTTGGGATGCGACTGGGGAGGGATTCAGAAAATTGGACATGATTCCTGGGATTCCATCTTTCTGTTTGTTATTCCCAGAAGAGAGSCAGACCAGAATATTCAGCCTTACCTACACTCCAAACCAGAGAGAGGCATAAAAATCCCATGTACATCTTCATTTGCACGTGCCAGCAGCACCACCACATTATGGATTCTGACCTCGAGTGGATTGGCTGCTCTAGGAGAAAGAAATGTGGTCATGGGAGAAACACTAACACTCTGTGGTGCTGAGATAGGACAGATGATGCGAACGCCAAAGAATAAAACTTGCTTATTTTCAATTTCAAGGCAATATTAGCTCCTTCTTTGCAGAACTGTTGCCAATCCAGCCATTCCTAGTCTTGTAATTATTCTTGTAATTTTTCTCAGTAAGTCATATTGCCTTACCTATTTCCTTGGGAAAGGTTAACAATGCTCTGCATTTCAGAGAAGGGCTTG